CTAGGACAATGTACAAACCTAATTAGTTTGGGGTAAAAATCTGTTCATATTAATTCCCTAATAAGCATAATAATTCATAATTTTTTGGTTCTAATCACATTTCAATTAAACTTGGAGACATAGATTTTCTGTTACATTGCGCAGACCTCATTAGTTTTACACTCAAATCTGGTCATATTAATTTTCTGATTTGCATAATTAGTTTTCAGCTAAGTAATTTCGAATTATATTTAATGTGTCTCCAATACTCTCAGCACATGGGAGTTCTTTCTAAGCTTTCTTTGATCTGTTTTGTAAATGAAATATTGCTGTTTTCCCGCCGTAAACAATAAAGAAAGATTGTACTTCGACATCGATAAATCACTCGTGTTGTGGTCTTCCTCGAAGATATTCAGAAATTTTTGGAAATTTTTTATAGTGCAAGCAAATATTAGGTATAGCATGTTTGAATAAAATCCATTTTACGTGGTGTTTAAAACTATTTATTAACATAGTGGGTAAAGATAGTCACTTGACTGATCACATGACTTTTCTTACATCAGGTGATAAGAAGACTTATTCTTTTCTAATTCCTTTGATGAGAGCTGTGATTGATAAATACGTGGAACCACTAAATATGAAACTACATCTACCAACCCTGCCAATGACCAACATGAGTCCTACATTCTTTGAAGACTTCCAAAAGTACTGTCTGGACCCAGAGTGGAGAGCCTTCATTGAAAAACAGGTAAGGTTAGCTGGGTACATACAAAACCAACATGAATGTGCATGGATTTAATAACTGTGAGTACATACATCCATATAATCATTTGGATTTCTTAATATTTAAGTTGGTTGCATGCTTCGGCATCACACCCATAATCTAGCCAATACACACACAATATACACACAATACATACAAGTCTAAAGTTATTACTTCATCTGTGGAAACAATCTTGTTATGCGACCAAGAACAAATATCATGATTGATTTTTTGTATGTGCTGACTATAGCTATGCCATGGCTGCTGTATTTTCAGTTTTATACACGTCAAACAAGACATAGCAGTAAATAACAAAACACAAAGACAGTATCGATAACTGTAGTACACATAGACTGGCAAAGTCGGGACTTCTTTTTTGTTTTACAATAATAAATATAATTAATTGTCTATTTGGCCTTTTTAGCGTGATTGCAAAAACGAGCGTGACCGCGAAAGAAATTCCAACTTTGCCAGTCTATAGTACACACAACTCCAGACTATCAACGTACATACAATGAAACTCACCAAGTAATAGTGATTTTAAAATGAACAAGAGGCTTATACACAGAAAAACATGTATGCGGTACATGTGTATGTACCCTTGATATTTATTGATTCTCGAATGATAAAGCGGGGAGTCGTCACCTGCGTATGCATCAGATGGCCATAGCGTGTCATTGTTTACAAACAATGTCTACCCACGAGTCTTTGCGTTTTTAGCGTGTGTTGTTATTGTCGCTTGGGACTCAATTCCCGTGCCTGCACAGGTGACGACCCTCCCGCTTTAACACAATGCAGTCCTTGATCTTAATTACTCCATATGATATAAGCAGAACTTCAGGGCATTGACATGTAGTCACATGGTAACATGTATTCGTAATATAAAATAAATTTGAGTTCTTATTGATTTTGAAACAGACACAGCAATTGTGAAAGACTCGTTGGCTGCATTCTTTGTTAATTTCTCATCTCTTATTTGTAGGTTCATCCCATGATGGAGGAGTTTTGTGAAAATTGTTTCAAGGAGTCCATAGAGGGTATAAATAAAGACATGAGTGACTGCACTGAAGCTCTCAATATTAGTATTCATCTGAGACAGCGTGAGAGGGGAGAAAATAAACTCAAATTCCAGGTATGTTTGTAAGAAAAATTATGGTCACCTGTAGCATTAAGGTTGTTCAATACAGTTCCACAAAAACATTAAAAATTGTCTCATTTTTGGTAAACTTTGAGATTATTGCTGCATTATAATGACTTAGCAATAATAAAAATGAGGTCAACAACTTCATCTTTGGGAAAATCATATTTTTATATTGTGCAGAGAAAAGTTTAAAACATGATTTTTTATATACCCTATATATAAAATATGTTTTTGAAATCCAGTTCCTCACCCCCTTGGCTATTTTCGCTGATTTTTTGTCGCCGGATTTTTTCACGTCCCAAATTTTGATTCTCCGGGCATCTCTAATAAATACCCTATCTAACTGCTGGACTGAATTAGCTATATTATGAAAAATTCAAAGAAGATTTGGCGAAAATCGTTCATTTTTGGCCTCAACGTTTTTTTGCTCGGAAACGCAAGGGCGATAAGACTCGATTTTCAAGAACGCAGGTCGCTCGGATCAGACGGTTTCTATTGTTTTGAGTCTGTTGTGTGTTTAGAAACATAACAGCTTTGTTTTTTGGTGTATATAGAATATGCTCTGTTCCAAAAAAGAAAATTGATATGCAAATCAAACAATTTTAATAGTTCCTTATTGTAACATCTCCCAGATTAGATAGTCCTCTACTCCCCAGAATTTGACAATGGTACTAGCCCAGAATAGACGTCCTGTTCAGCGCGTCTTTGATTGTAGCAATGTTTACACCACTCGCGAATTTGACAACATTTACTTGAGCGTTTTAGGATAGTAGGAATAGAAGCAAATAGATGGAAATGCCAGTTACGTCACTCATGAAGATTGATGATTCGATTGCTGGCCGGGATAGATGTATTTAGTGTTCATTTCTGTGCAATATGTCTACACCTGCGATTTCAATATTGATGAGTAAAATCATATCGCTGCTGTGGACGGCAACGGCTGATAGATTGTTTTGGTTCTGCAGCTCTCTTGGCATGGGCAACTGATTTTTAGGTTTCTGTTTTTTTTAATATTCTGACGTTTACTTGGTCGTATTTTGTGTATACCACTCTGGACACTTACAACAAGTAAGTAAACGGTCCGGGACTTCGGACTCTGAAGGCCCCGGGAAAAGGCGTCATCGTACAACATTAATGAACGAAATGTACATTACAATCTCATGCTTCCGAACAATCCAATATTTATGCTGAATAACAAAGTATACAAGTACTGTTTACGATATACTGCATAATGGAAATAACATACCTATTTAACCGTTGGTGATTTTTGTACACAATTCCAAGAACACAAAACAAACAAACAACTAACAACAATCGACAAAACAAAAACACTACACAGTCACTGTAGTCACACCAGTAAGAAAAATACTGTGGCAAATGTAAATACAAAATAAATGTCAGTGAATACAATATTTGTTAATTTGCAGCCTCCATGGACAAGTTCACAGCCTCTAATATTGCAAAACCGTTAGTTGTGAACTAAACTTTAAATCTCATCAGGATTTCCACATAAAGTTACACAGATAGAAAAAAATGCAATATTAAGACAAGGAAAAATAATGCTTATTTGTCAAGGCTATATACTAAATTCTCTTATTTTGGGGGTATTTTTGTGAGTCAACATTAAAATTATCAAAACTTAAAATGTAATCATAGTACAAATGTAAAGTAAACTAAATTATCGAGTGATTTTGGATTTGTTGAAAACATGCTGTGACATTGGTGGTGGGAATTGCCAAGCTAGTCAATAAAATAGTGAACAAAACTTTTCGTAAATATTACTGACTGCAAATGATGCTCATCGCGAAGTGTCTTGTTTTAAATATAAGAAACATTGTCTTTTTTTGAAGCTTGTGGTAATAATGGGGTTTGTGACACATTATGACATAAATTGTATAATACTGAATTTCACACAAAATGAACAAAAAATTTATAATTTTAACTTTCATAATATAACAGATCTATCTCATCTGGCTGACAGGAATTCATCAAAAAAGATATCAAATTTGAAAAAAGAACATTTAATACAGTAATTATACTGATGTGACCATATGAGTGCCAAAGTCAACACCGAGAACCATCCACAAAATATTTCCATTCATAGTCTGCTCTTTTCCTCAAAAAATATTAATGAAAATTTGTTGATCAAAATGTAGAAGCAATGTAACATTTTTGTCTGTTCAGTCCAAAATCAAGATTCAGTGGAAATTACAGAAAATGTGAAAATGCCCTCCCCCATTTTGAGTGTGTTTGCCACTCAAAGAGTTAATAAAAAAATCATGATGAATATTCGATCTGCCAAATGCCTGTATAATTTTGATATTGACTCCAGGATAACATTTTGGAGCCATTTAAGAAACAAAGAAAAGCTGAAACTATAAGATACACTGCAACTGTAAACCAACAAAAGAACCAGCACACCTCTACGTTGAGGCAATGGAGAGCCAGTAAAAGATTCTTGACAGGAGAGCGGGGCTCTTGGTCTGAAAGGTAACAAATATTAAACTTTCTTATTCTTGGGGGCGGCACTACATCATGTTGCTACGTGCACCACTGTACCATGTATTTCTATGGGCTCTGCACGAACTGCTGTGGAATGCCAGTCGAAGAGCTGGTGAAAACGGCTAAAAAAAAAATTGGAAAAACTCAATTAAGAATCCTGAGCAACCATATTACCGGTAATATATGTTTCACATATAGGGGTAATCTTGTTACACTGTTCAGGGGAGTCTCAACAACTATCTCAAAGTACCGTTTTCTGAGAGTTTTTTTTTTTTTTTTTCACGGTGATGGTTGCTAGGCAGTGAAAATGCCCGAATGTCAGCCCTGAAAATACATTTGCCACTGAAAACAATAGAATTTACTATTTTATGAAACTTATTTCTAGACCAAACCAGATATACTGTAAAATATTTATTTTAGGTGGAATTAATTTTTGTTGAAAAGACATTTTTGGTTTTTTGTATGGAATTTATTTCACTGAATTTTGACAAGTTGAATGTAAAATATATGAAAAAAGGTATATTCGCTGGGTTTTATTTTCACTGAATCATTCCGCCGGCGAAAATAGCGAGAATTAATTCCAAGCGAAAATAAACTATTCTACAGTACTTTTTATGTTATCTGTGCTTTGTGTACTCATATTTCAAATGAAGTCAAATATTGAATATTTTACTCATTATTTATCATTATATGAATGGTTCTTGATTCTTCAGATGTCCTTCTGCAGTGTACTGGAAGTTGTCCATGACAGAAAACTTTTCTAGAATGCGTCCAAAGTTAACTCAGAATTATAATTTTGATAATCACCTTGATGCTGCTCAGCAGAGAGACAACACTGGTAAGTTTATCATTATGTAACACATCAACCCATCTTCCTCTTTACCTACATACTTTCATTATTTTCATCCATCCATCTATCCTTCTTTTCTCTTCCATCTTCGTCTTTCATTTCTTCATCATTTTGCCCCATTCATTATTCTTCTTTTCTCTTCACTTTTTTCTTCCTTAATTATCCTTTTTCTGTTGCGTCCTCATTTTATTTTATTTCCTCTACTTTTTCTCTTCAGATGGATACAAAATAACACTCTGTTATTGTTTTTTTAGGAAGTCCTTCTGATTCCTCCATGGAAGAAATTCCATTGACTGTTGCTAAGGAAGCTAAAGTTGATGAGATGGAAGATGATATCTTGGGTGATGAGGAATGGAATCTTATGAGAAATGAAAGGTATTGACTGCTTGAACTCCCAAGTTGATTTCCCAGGGATGATGTTGAATCTCTACTTTGCATAAACTTTAGTCTTTTGTTACTATGAAGCGTTTGCTGCCATAGATTTGATTAGACTAACTACTGAGTAACTTGTAGGGTGGAGCCCCTGGCTTGGTCTGAGTTTATTCACTCTTGCTATACTGTAAAACATGTTGAAAAAGTGACATACTATTTTAGCGAATTGTGGTAAAATAACGTAATAGTGAAATGTTGATTTAGCGAATCTCTCTTGTCTTTGTTGATTTCCTGTTGTCACAATACTTGTCTGTCGCCAGCCAAAACAAGTGCGCAGTTATCACCTCCATAAAAACAAAGAAAAACTGTCAAGTGTAATAAGGAAGCGCTCCAAATTATTACGTTTTCTTTGTTGTTTACAAAGTGTGTGTGTGGAGAAAAGACGTTGTTTGGCCGCCATTTTGAATTTATAATGACGTCATTAGCGACATCTTAAATTAGAAAATTTGTTCTCTCGCTAAATTCCCTAAAAAGACATGCTCGCGAAAAAGACATGTTTTACAGTATGTTGCAGCTAAAGAGCACAAAAGACATGTCCAATGATGTTTGTTCATTTTCTATTATCTTGTCTGTATCATCATAGATAAAGGGCGCAAGGTATATACGTATGAGGGAGAAAATATCTGTTCTTGTTGTTGTCGTTGTTGACCCATAAAACTTTTTTTTTCAAACTTGAATATAATATTGACCAGTTTTAGATGGATTATCGTACACATGAATATTTTTGAAGAAGTTCATTAAATTTCTCTTAAAATTTTCTTCTTCCTGTGGTTATAATTATAACAATTTTATCTGATCATCTTCAAATTTGAGAAATTTATCAATCACTATGAAATGTCAACCAAGTTAATTTTTTGTGTAACTAGCAAAAGCATTTTTCAAGATATAACATTTTTACACATAAAGTGGACAGACATGTACCTTTAAAAAACTTGTACAATGATGTCTTTTCATTTCCTATTAGTTCCACATCACTGGTAGAGAGTACAAAAGAGAAGACTGTCGTGAGTGAAAGTTGTCAACTTGTCACTGTGAATGAAGTAATATCCGGTAAACTGGAAGTTACAAACTCATTTCTCTATTTTATTGATGGAACACAAGAAAACGAAGAAGGTATGTCAGTTGATTCATTGATTGACTATTTGATTGATTGATCAATTAATTGATTTTTTGGTCAGGAGTTTGTTTTATGTATATCTTTATTGATTTATGATAGATTGATTGATTGAATGGTAGAATGATTGATTTGTCGGCTAACAATGAAACAATCCTCAGAAATCTAAGTTTATACTTTCTATGTTTTTAAATACAGAGATAATTTACAACAGGTAAATGTTGATCTTATTAACTCACCCCCTATCACATTATGATTTGCATATTTTTCACTAATGTTGTACTTTTCAACCGGAGGCCTCTAATATTGAATAAAATATATTCTATTTATTGATCAGTTGATTGTTCAGGTTACTTATTGATTGATTGGTTGGTTGATTGATTGATTTATAGATGAATATATTTTTTTATGGAATATATGACATTTTGAATATGGATCATGGATCATTAAATGGTTGATTATATTGATTAATAACAATTTCTGAAAAAACAACTTTATTTAAATAATATTGTCTTTAAGGATACCGGTATGCACATTCTCAGTCATCGGATTTTGTGTATAATTTTAGTAACCGTTATCAGAATCCCATATCAGAATTCTAACATAGTTTGTTTTCTTACTTGTAGGTGGTGGACAAGATTTTAAATGGGCGCTATTACAACTAAGAGAAGTCCATCTTAGGCGATACAATCTGAGAAGAACTGCTCTAGAAATGTTTTTAATTGATCAGACCAACTATTTTATTAATTTTGATAATAAGAAGGTAACGTATAATACTTTCTGGATGTAAACTTTTGTGCAGTTCTCGTATATTGTGTTAACTGCTTTTGGGATGTTAATATCATGTGGGACATTGTAGCTTGTGTTTTATTCAAGTGATATTCATAGGATTATGAAGTATTTATATCCTCTACCAATTTGTTAGCTTTCTTGAAATACAATTGAGAGAAAAATGATATATACCTATAATATATTATTATTGATTTCGATGACTCTCGTATGAGCCTTTATTTGAACTAGCGTGGATTGTATATCTTAATTGTGTGCATATCTCAAATGTGAAATCGTATTACACATTCCTTGGGTTTTTGTGGGTTGCAAAATTAAATTGTTTTAATTAGTCCCCGTTCAGGCGCAGCCTGAAAAGGGGACTAATAATTCAGGTTATGTCCATAATTCCGTCTCCAACATTTTCTCAGAAATTCTACAGCAGATATCAGTGAAACTTGGCAGGTTGATGAACATGTCCCCTTCGAGTATGCACGTAATTTTTTTTCCAGATCTGAAAATCCCAAGTGGGTCTTTTTCACGATTTTATCAAAAATTGCCTCTCCCGGCAACATTGACAAAACGTCTGCGCATGCTCAGAATAAATTAATTACTGTAAAATACTTTATTTTTGCTTGCAACATTTTTTTGCTATTTTCGCTGAAGGAATGTTTCAGTTAAAATAAAATCCAGCGAATATACCCTTTTCTTATATTTTACAGTCAACTTGTCAAAAATCAATGAAAATAAATTCAATACAAAACACCCAGAAAAAGTCTTTT